ATTTAAATCGGTAGGAAAAACTTTCCCCTGACATTTAAATGAATCTGCAGAGTGGATAGGCAAAGAGCTTTGATGCCGTGGCGGCAGGGTATGTGACACCTGAGTGACAAAAGGTTTGGACCATTCTGTACCTTTGGAAAAGCGAATGTGGTTGGTGACCGATGAGTAGTGAGAAGACCTGCAAAGGGAGTTGGGGGCCATAGAAAGAGCTGGATTTTATCCTCAATGCAAACAGCATACAGTAAAGAATTTTAAACAACAATAAGGGAAGAGACACACACACAGAAAAGAAGATGGGAATGTCCTGAGGCCCATCAGAGACACAGATGTAGGGAAGCCCCGGTCCTCAGGGCCTCTGAGTCCCACGGGGCCTGTGTTGCTTTGGGCTTGTCTTTATACCTCCATGAAACTTCCTTCTCTCCTTACATTTCTGTCCTTTATGACATTAATATTAAAGCTAATAATGTGATTTCACATGAAAAGCTAACTATCAAAGGAATGTGAAAAGAGATGATATCTAAGCAGAAAAATCTGTTAATCCAAAAGCATCTCCAGTGAGGAAGAAAAATGGCAGAGCCCTAAACTAAGAACTAGGTTATTCTGAGCACACAGTCACGCAATCACCCTTAGATACTTTGATGTTAAAATGTCACAAAGGATATATTAAGATGGTCAATGTAACTATTTTACTGATTTTAAAGAAGTGTAATAATCAAGACCAACAGGGAAAACATGCTGCCAGCTGAGGGTGAGGAAGGCTGGGGGTGGAGGGATTGACCAAAAAGAGAAAAAAAACAGAAAAAGCAGAAAAAGCACTCATGGACACGGGCACCAGTGTGCTGACTGCCGGGGTGAGGGCGGGGGCGGTGGAGGAGAGTAGGCGAGATAAATGATGATGGGGAGACACTGACTCTGAGTGGCGGACACACAACGGAGTGTACAGATGATGTGTTTTAAAATTGTGCCCCCAAAACCTGAGTAATTTTGTTAGCCAGTGTCACCCTTCCTATAAAACTTAATTAAAAAAAGTGGGAAAAGATCAGAGTCCATATGGACCTAAAATGCAGTCTAGGTAGAGCATGGTGGAAAATTTAGTTGATTAATGCATTTTCCTATAATTACTTGTCAATACTTTATCTTATTTAAAGGTTTGATCAAGACCTGTGTGAATTCTAAAAATAAATATGCATTAGAAAATTGAGGGGAAAACATACTCATAAATTTGTTCCTGGAAGTTCTAAGTCAATAAAAGATTTGTAAAATGTTATTTTAGATTTAACTGAGTTCCAATTTTTTTAATAAACCTTAATTTGAATGTCTCTGACCTTTCTAATACTATTATTCATCCAGAAGCCTCCACATACTTGAGAATCAAAAATAAAAATGATCTAGCATACATATTTATATATACATACATATACATGACTTACACATATGGTCTCCACCACTATTAAAAACATAACTAACTTCTCAGAAAAGGGACAACCAAGTAATCAGAGTTTGCAGTGAAGAGTTACGTGAATGTCTGCTATCAAACCCACGCAGCGGAATTTGAGAACTGCAGTTTAGTCACTTTACTCCTAGGTAAGTTATCACAGAGATCACGTTTCTTACATCTGTGATGCTCACCACAGCTTGCAGTTATTGCCAATTAATAGGCCGAGATTAATTGTTGAAAGTGCCACATAAAAGCTTAGTAGAAAATATTTTAAACACAGAACCACATTTATGCATTTAACAGCTGTGTTGGTCTAACAGTTCGGATTTTCACTATACTTTGCCATATGGTAAGACGGATCGTTTTTCACTTAAAATATCACCAAAAACGGATGCCCTACAGCAATATCGCCATTCTTAGTTTGAAACTACATAGTCACGGCCATGTTGTTATCCATCTGTTACTGCGTTCCTCATTTGCCTTAATTCTACCTAAAATATTTAATGACAATGACTTTTATGAATTTTAAAATTCATAGCATCAAATTTTAAAATTTAGCATCAACCAAGTCAAACACAAATATTGCAATAGGAAACCTGTGGAATATGACCTGGCAGGGAAGAGGCAGGATGTAAAATCTGGGTTATAGAAAACTAAGAACCACATAGATTGGGGCCTATTTTTTTCATTGGATTTGGGGATTTTCCTGTATTTAAAAAGATCTGATTCCTAATAAATTCCATATTCTCTTTAAAAAATCTGATTCCTACTTCCTATCTTTCACTCTGTCCACTATAACCCTTTATTGATGTAGATAGAATTAGTGTTAAACTGAAGATGAAAAGTTGTGGTTGCCAATTTTGATCTTAATCTGATTGTTACAATAATTCATCACCATGATTTTAAGGGGGGGGACACTGCAGAAATTCTCACACACACATTTAACAGGAAACTACATAAAAAGTTCACCTTTTTAAGACGTCAGAACACGAGGCCCACCCCCATCGGGAAGGGCACCCTGTCGTTGGCAGTGCGTGAGAAAACAAACAGCGAGAGTCCCTCAGTTTGTGGGTCTGCCCACCTGTCACGTTTACAGCCTTCACTACATTCCTTTAGCAGAACTTAAGACTGGCAGTGACCAAAATGATATGTTAATACTATTTGCATATTATACTATGTTTGTTATCATTGTCCGTGATTCAGCACTGTGTGTGGAAGAGGAAGAAGCAGGGTAGTATAAATATCTCAATCCTTAAAATAATACATTTTAAGTAGAAATGAGCACTACAGATTTTCACCATTACAGTTCACATTTTCACTTTTACAAGGCAGCGATTCTCCATTTCGCAAGCCCTAATTTTAAACAATGCATTTCTGAAGCAATCACAACACACCAATATAAAAAAACATGAAGTTCAAAACGTCTACCAAGATGTACCCTTACTTCCTTTCTTCCAAGCCTGTGCCTCCTCAACTAAAACATTTAAGATAAGATTTACACGGTGATAAGATTTGGGCTGATGAATCACCCTACACACAAGCCAACCTGGTTACAGTGCTCCAAATGGGAAGAGTCCTTTCCCCCAAGGAGACTCCGCAGAGCATTGTACCACTGAAGGTGCAACTGTGATAGTCTCCGAATGTCTCAAATTATCATTCTGAAACATATTTACTTTAAATAAGAATTTAACATCTTATAAATGCATAAACTGTTATTAATAATGATACTAGTCATAACACACCTGCAGATAATACTATGCACCAGACACTACTCCAAGGGCTTTATGTGTATTTACTCATTTTGTAATCAAATCAACCCTAAGATCAGTATTATTATTATCCTCATTTTTATGGTTGAAAAATGAGGAACTAATAAGATACCTCATTTGAGTTTACACACCTAATAAGTGGTAGAGTTAAGAGCTCTGCCCCCAGTCATTCTGGGTCCAGAGTTCATATCCCTAACCACTATGCTGCAGGATAAATTAGAAACACACACACACACACACACAAACACACACACACATACACATCAAAGTGCCTGGGACAGGGAGTCAAAGGTTATGTTACCTAGAGAAAAGCAAGGAATGTCTCTGAGTTTCAACTTCCTCTTCAGAAAAGTAACACAGCTACACATTACTTTCATGTATATTCTAAGCCTAATACTTATGATTCAAAGATTTGCTCTTTAGTACATGCCCTCTCTGCTTTTTATTGACATACATCAATAGTGAATTTAAGTATTCATACATTTAAAGGACAATGCTGAAAGAAAATGAAGTTACCCTTAGGCAATCAAGGAATACTATAGAATAAATACAGGGACAAGAATTTCACGTCGAATGTATCATAGTTTAAGCTTCCTGAAACAGCCTTAAAAAACAGTTACCCTGATGCCTTTCCAGTCTCTACTACAAGGTACAATATTATAATGATTTTTTTGGAAAATAAACTAGAAAATCAGGTAAATGACCCATTGTTCCTTCATATCAATACAGAAAACTACCTATTATTCCTTTATGTCAATACACAAAACTCCTTTGAGTTACGCTTATCTATACCCCAAATTTAAATTTTCATGTAGCCAAGCCATAAAATACAGTATCTGAATAGTGGTATGGGGTACCCTGAGATTGTGAAAACATTCATCTTATGAGTGCCAGTCAAAAGTGCATGCCAACTGATCATGTGTACATCTCAAATCGGCAGTATTGTCAAACTGGCTCTATAAAATGCATTCACAAGTACTCAAGGCTGAATTCTAACTGCATTTTGATCTCATACATATTCCCTTTGTCCCCTGGCTTAATTTTATAAAACCTTTTTCTCCTTATTTCCAGCTTCAGGACTCCCTCACTGCAAACTACCATCAGACAGTTGTTTTATATTCACTACGTGTCTTATCAAGAAATTACTTCATATTCATTTTCTTTCTTCTAACTTGAAAATATTTCACCTACTCTTATAATTACTCTTTCATTTCTTAAAAAAATTTTGTTACCCTTTCATCAACTTTACATAAGAATAATTCTTCTGGACAAAATGATCACCAAGTAAGCCCTGTTCCTAAATGTGGATAAACTTCTGATATAGTCACAAATTATAATTATTGCATTATAAAACTGGAGATTTACTCCATGCATCCATATAAAAATTCAAACAAACTTCAAAGTTAATTAGCTAATCTATAAAAATCTAACAGTATTCAACTCAAAATGTTCAAGACAAAGTTTATTAGAACTGTTATTTTCTTAAGTTCTCCACATACGAACTGTCACAGGATGCTGACAACCCACTTTATTAAACTCAAAGTTCCAAACTGGACTGCACTTAAATTCTTAATTGCTAGAGAAAACAGAAACTTTGAATCCCTTTAAAGTCATTCTAATGCATTATCTAGGAAGCGTTGCCCTAATAGAGAAAACAGTAAAATTACAGAGCAGTTGGAGGATGGGGTTTGAAACTGTCGAGCCCTCAACGTTCCACTCTGTGATAAAAGCCACGAAACCAGACACTAACGGAGCCCCCGTCGGCACGTCCGGTGGGGCGCTGATCTTCTTACCCCATGTGTGCACAGGCAGGACAACCAGCAAGGAAATGTGAAGCTGCCGGCTTAGTTCTTCCAGCCAAGTCATTACAGCGGGACGGCAGTGAGTGTGACCTTCAAGCCGAAGCCTCCTGTTGCTTGCCTCTCCTTCTTTCACTGAGACGCCTGTGCTGCCACTCTTGTCAGAGCTTCAGGCAAGCCTGCCAGCAAGCCTGAGACAGGACCGTGGAAGACAAGCCTGTTACAAACTGGTGCTGTCACCACAGAGACTTCAACTGATCACCTCGTGGGGAGGACAACAAAGGGCGGTGAGGACCTGGAGCAGGACTGTTTTCTTAAGAAGAGAGTGTGACCCGGCTGCCCACACACGGGCCGCACGCACAGCACAGGCAGGTACCTCCCTCAGCACGGCCAAGCCCACGTCCCCAGAGCTCCCGGCAGCCCTGCAGAGATTCCAAGGCAACACACACCTACACTGCACCGTCATGAAATGGGCTATCTCTGTTTCTGCACTCAAGGTTTTCTCTGGGCTAAAATTGGTCACTGTGGGGAACCCTAGAAGATCAGGAGAAATACAATGTTATCTTTCATAAAGTGATAGAAATACTGCAATACATCAAGTGTCAGGTTATGGTAGTTTTCTCACACTGTACCCACATTTAAATAATGAAGCAAACGCCTTTGGATCAAGTGCTCAGATATGGAAAAGGATGTCATAGGCTTTCCTTAATGAATATTTCCAGTTAAAATATTTCAGTTAAGCCACTCACTAATCAGTTCATCTTAAATTACTATAGTTTGAAGTTTCCTATATAAAAAATAAGAACTACTGTGAACCTAACCACTTAGTATGTAAATAAAACCACTGAAAGTTATTCAGGTTTTTAACATTTTAAATGTAATTATGCCTCAAAGTACATAATGCACATTTTGTAAAATTTGATTTCCCATGATGTTCTGAGTAATCCTTTTCAACACTAAAAAACTTTTAAAAGGCTATTTGATTTCTTTCACTCTGAGGATTTATAATAAAGGGATAGCAGGGGATATAAATGAACTGTCAGTATGTGCAGACACAGCGATGTGCCATGGACGGATACAAAGGGGAGGCACTGCTAAGGGTTCAGGAGTGTGAGAGCACAGGCACACTGCAATGGTTACATCTAAGACATCGTCAGAAGTGCTTGTTGCTTGATACTTTAAGATTATCTGGGGGAAAAATCTCTGCCATCTTCACCCCCTACACACAGGCAGCAGCATCTCCCAACATGACCCTCTGACACACCATTCCACTCTGTTCTCTGGCTTAAGGTAGCCCGGCAATTGCTGTCTGTGGCTTTACAAACACCTACAATCCCCACTTTCATGAGATGAATTCAACAGAAATCCTGGAGTATACTAAGCTTAAGAAACTACACATTTTGTATTTCTCAGAAGCCATGCAACCAACTCATCAAGAATAGGGAAGCTGGGGGCGGTACATGAGGCAGTCTTTCAGTATCATTGATCCACATCCCTTTAAACTAAGAAGAGAGACTGAGGCATAACTAATATGAGTAAAAGCGATTAGAAGCAGAGAGGTTACATGTGGGAAAAGCAGTCAAAAATCAAGCAACAGAATCTCTTGTTCAAACCTTCTATATTGGGCTCAGAGCCACATCTCAACATGGTTCCGCTGCCAGTTTGGAATCCAGCCTTGTGCTCTGGGATGAGGAGCACGCAGCTGAAATGTGGGACAGCTCCCACCGCTCGCATTTCCCCAATATGGGCATCCATGAACCGTGCAAAGCGTGAATAGGGAATAGTTGCTCTCTCCCCAGAATCCTAGTTCAGTTCAAAACAATTCATATCAGCAATCATTTCTGATTCTGTGCTATTCGCTACCTGAAGTACATGCACTCAAGAAATTTATAATACCATAGAAAAAGCACTTCACCTTATATACAATACATGTGAGAGAACTAAGTTTAAAAAAGTACAATATTTTAAGATGAAGGGTCCTCAAGTGAAATAAAGACAGAAAATCCAAATAAGAAATGGATTATACTACTTTGAAGAAACAGCTAGAGGCTGAAATAAATGTTAACTGAATTTATTTAGACAGCAATAGAGGAGATAGAAGGGAAGAACAAGAATTAGAAGATTAACTATTTCTCTTGTGCAATACATGAGAAGAAAATATCTTACTACAGCAGAGGGCTCTTGTTAGTAAAGAGTTAGAAAGAAAGTTAGAGTAGAACTGGATTGTGCAGGACTGAATACAGGTTGCAAAGTTTAAACTACATATTATACAACTAAAGGCATTTGAGCAACTGGATTGATAAATTTAAAAAAAGGTTTGGGATTCCAGCATAGAGGATGAGTCTCTGAATCTAAACTTCTTCCAACTATGGGAGAAGTGAAAATTAGAAGTCCGAGGAGAAGGTTCCACTTAGTCAAACGTTTTGTTAATAATATAGAATTCTTTTTTTTCACCTGTGATATTAAGAAATTCAAGACGTATCCTTATTAATTCCTTCCATTTTCTCTACATGATTTAACATATGCTGGGTGCCAACACAGAAGGAGATGTTCTATAAAATGCATAATTAGGTTCTAGAAAACAAGGCTCAAATGATCTAATAAAACTCTTATAAGCCCTGGCTGGTGTGGCTCAGTGGATTAAGCATGGGCCTGTGAAGCAAAGGGTCGCTGGTTCGATTCCCAGTCAGGGCACATGCCTGGGTTGCAGGCCGGTTCCCTAGTAGGGGATACATGAGAGGCAACCACACACTGATGTTTCTCCCCCACTCTTTCTCCTTCCCTTCCCCTCTCTCTAAAAATAAATAAATAAAAATATTTTTTAAAAACCCTCTTCTAAGGAAGATGAGTAATCTGGCTTAGCAAATAATCCTAATTTGCATATGATTCAGCACACTCATCCTAAGTACACACCAAATGAGGCTTCAAAGAAAGCTCTGAATTGGAAAGGTCTTAATTTGAGAATGCACATGAGAGAACAGGAAATAGAAGGACTACAGACGTACTGCCACCCTGAGCAGGAGGTGCCACCAGCACATGTCACCGTGGAATTCCTGCACAGACCCCCTCGCTCCAGGCTTGTGGGGGCCGCAGAGCAAAGCGCACCTGTCTGTGCTGTCTGTGCAGGCCCTGGGCCAACTACTGAGACCCTGTCTGTGCTTTATTCACCACCCAACTGTTAAGATTTTATATAGATTCAGCAGGAAAATAAATATAAACAACTGATTATAGAACCCAGAAGAGAGGACATCAGAAAATGGTCAGCAATTTCCTGACAATTCTCACTACTCTCTGCCTTTTCACACACACACGAAAAGGCAACCCCCCTTGTTAGCAGTAATGTTCTTTAATGTAACACTCACCAGGTTGTGCCTGTCACAAACAACGTGAAAGCGAAAACAAGGGTATAAAGTACAAAGCAACGTATTTTGCCGTGTATAATGTGCTCCCATGTATAATATGCACCCATGTTTTGTGTGCATTATACACAGGATCATCATAGCCATTATTATACCCAGGGTTGGTAATCATCATACCCATGTATAATGCGCACCTTTATTTTCTTTCGAAAATTTGGACAAAACAGTGAATATTATACACAGCCAAATATGGTATGTCTGATGTTAAATCAAGGTTTTAAATTTTTCATTTATACCTGCAAAGGCAAATATTTAGTTACTCAAGTTATTTTTATTTAACTAAATATTCATATAATTGAAACAGAACTACATGAAAGTTTTAAATTATGATATCTTTTCAACAACTTGATTTGTGACTTGTGTTCACAAAAAACTCCAGATCGCCTGATTTCATGTACTTATACAGGTTTAAACTGCATTTGGGGGACTGTCTCGTGAATAGAACGTGAGAACCTTACAAAGTAATGATGTGTGTGGAGTATATGTGTGTGCTCAGGCAACTGTTTTGCTAAGTGTGTGAATTCAAGTGCAGCTCAACATTAGCTTCAGTACAGAAACCATACAGACTTCTGTGTGGCTGATGAGATTCTTTGAAGAGAAAATACCTGTTTAAAAATGGAGGCTGTAGCCCTGGCTGGTGTAGCTCAGTGGATTGAGCGCGGGCCTGCGAACCACATGATCGCGGTTCGATTCCCAGTCAGGGCACATGCCTGGGTTGCAGGCCGGTTCCCTGCAGGCCAGTTCCCAGCAGGGGACGCACAAAAGGCAACCATACATTGATGTTTCTCTCCCTCTCTCCTTCCCCCACTTCCCCTCTAAAGATAAATAAATAATAAAATATTTAAAAAAAAAATAAAATAAAAACCTGAAAATTGTTTGAAAATTGTTTTAAAAAAAAAATGGAGGCTGTAGCTTTTTAATGGGCTACTATATGCATTCAGATTGTAAGGCTTTCATGTTAAATGTTTCTAACTATTTAATGATTTCTTTAATTTCTCGACTTGTGTATGGTAGTACAGCAAACTCATAGTAATTAGTATCGATAGTAAATTTGGGGGATTTGTTTGCAGTATTGAATAATGAGGTGAATGTTGGTTTCTCTATTACTTGAACATTTCTGCTAATATTATATTTGCAACCATGTCTGCTTTTTAATTAAACTTCTATTTGTATACATAGACACCTAAAAATTTGTAATAAAATTATGTATATTTAAAAAAAGCACCCGCCTTCAGGACAGAACTGCTCCTAGAATGAGTGAAGATGATCATCCAACGAAATAGTGACAGCACAGCCCAGAGACCACCTGCTGCAGGGAAGGAACATGGTAAACACAGGGATAGACAGATTCACCGGCTGGGGGTGGGCAGTGGGCTTGTGAGGAGCGGGCATCTGAACTCGGCCTTCAAAGATAAGTAGGAGTTTACCGGGTGGAGGAAGGGCAAGGAATATTAAGCTAAGAGAACAGATAGTACGGACATTTATGAGCCGCAGAAAAGAGCAGTGTTTGCAGAGAATATGAGCCTGAGAGACGGGATATACCTAGAGAGCAGCGGGCTCGGGTCCGCATGGACTGGGAGAAGTCGGGCAGGGCCTTACGTCTCATCATTCGATTGGATCTGACCCTACAGACATGGGAAGCGATGCCTTCGTTTCTCAGGAGGTATTTGCACAGTTTATTTTCCACTGTGTGAACTGATTGCAACCCCATTTTGCAACTGATCACATTTCAAAAGAAGCTGGTAAAGTTTCTGAGACAGGATAAAAAAACAGTTTCCTTTTTATCTAAGAAAATGTAGCAATATCCTTATTATCTTTAATGAGTACAAGAGACTGTTGTTTTTTTATTACTTGAACATCCCTGCCAATAAACATCTACTTTTTAATTAAACTGCTGTTCAAACACACTGACACCTAAAAATAACTGCTATTCCCTGCT